TGTAGCAACACTTCAAATTTCTATTTTGGTCATAAGTATTGATTTGGAATTTTGTAGTTTGAGATATTCCATTTTGTTTTTGGAAAAGAGTAATTTTAGAAAGTTTTTGCTAATAAATATGCATGTAAGAAAACCATTATATGTATAAGATGTGATGGAATCTTTGTCATTTTATATATAATGAAGCGCAATCTTTGTTTTTTATACGTAGTTGTTGTTTGTGCCCGTGGCACTCTCAATTATTATATTTATTTATTTATTTTCTTTAGTTCGCAACTGTATTGGTGGTCGTGGTCGCTGCATGGAAAGCTTGGCCTTCTCTCTGTCGCTTTTCTCCTCGCCCCAACCTCTTCGTCTCAGATAATTTGTCTACATTCTTCTTTCTTTTCCTATATTTCCAAATACTCTTTATGTTCTTAGTGTAAGACCTATTTAACTAATTTAATTAGATTAAAAAATTTAAGTAAGTTAATTAATTATACAAAATATGATATGTTTTTGTAAAATACCATAATCATTTTTTTAATATCCTTCATCCCACTAGCTATTTGATTATAGTTGAGAGCGTATTAATAGAGATAATTTAGAAAAAAATTAATAAATATGAAAAATAGGTCTTATATTTAGGGTTAAGATTAACTCAACAATTAGATCATATATTAAGGACAAGAGGAGTATTTTCTAACTTTTCTTTTCTTATATGATTAGTTCATGATCAGTAACCCTTATTACCCATGCTCCACCTTACTCCGTTACATCTCGTAAAAGTGTGTTTGAGCAACTATATATAGCAAGACAATTAGTATTGAAAGTAAATAAGTAAGAGTAGAGAAATGAATACAGTAAAGATATCCTGGGGTTTTCCGAAGACTATTGGGTCTAGTGGCACAAGATGTGCTTTGAAGGCACTAGGTCTAGAATCTGATCACCAGCTGTTAACCAGGCTCTATGCTTGCTGTCCAAATCCAAAACACAAAGAGATATCCTGGATTTTAAGAGATTTTCCTTGTATAATCAGTTATAATACACATAATTCATCTATAACTACTTAACAGGTATGGTTTTTCACTGCTTACTCAGAACTACTACAAAGACTATCAAGGTTATCACTCAGCTGGTTGCTCTCAGTTAGAACATCCTAATGAAATTTGAGCAATGTTTATTTCTAATTCACAACAATGTTTTGGGATAATTTTAATTGTGATAATGATAACGATTTACAGTGTGTTTGGATTGCCGATTCATCAAGGTAAAGTGCTTGGGACTCTGTGAAACGCAGGTAATTCAAGGTTCATTTGCAGATTAAAGGTTGTTTGGGTGGATTTTTGACCCAACTAACTTACGGGGGAAAAGCTCAATACGGTACAACGCTAGAAATATTAGCTCTCTCCGTTTCTAACATGGAGAGTGAAAGAATGAAGATGAAAATAATGATAAGGGTATTTAAGTAGGTTCTATCTTGATCCAATAATATGATTTTTTTTGTGGGTAATAATTTAATCATTTTTTATTTATTATATGTCTTAAATTTATCAAATTATGTACATGTAATATACTGTCTCAGGTATTTAATATAAGACCCAATAGACTAATTTGAAGAGATTATAAAAGCTAAATAAATTATTTAATCATATCATATGTTATATGTTCTCTCTCTAAAATATTCATATGTATCACTAGATTATAAATAAATATATAAGTCAGGCTATTTTATATCTGAACTTATTTTTTCATTACTTAGGATCCATTTGGATTAGCAGTGGAAAAAGTAGTTTATTTTCAATTTGACTTTTACAAAAGTAAGATTGGGTAAAAGTTAAATTGAATAAGGTGAATTGTGTTTGAATTGGAGTTTAAAAAAGTTAGTTTGTAAAAGTAAGATTGGTAAAAGGTTGTTTAGATTATGATTGAGTAAAAGTAAGTTTGTTTGTAAAATTACCAAAATAGGTATGAGTTTTAATAAATAATGAAACATGATTTAAAAAAATAAATTTACATAATATAATGAATTTAAATTAATTTAATATGAAGAAGTGAAATTTAATGAATGAATTAAATTTTAAAACTTTAGAAAAATTATAAAAAATATTTTAAATATAAAGTGAAATATGATAAAAAAAATAAATTTACATGATACAATGAATTTAAATTAATTTAATATAAAAAAGTGAAATTAATTCAAATTGTTTCCCCCTACACACCCAAGACAAAGGAAACGAGCTTAGAGAAAGGAGATGCGTGAAGCCTAAAACAGAGGAGAGAAGTGAAGGGTGAGACAAAAAATTTTTATGAGCAAGAGGAGAGAGAATATTTTTCTGAGCCACCAATAATTGCCTATAAGCTCGATTAGCTAAAGCCATAAGCAGGAAAAAGGAGCTTCTGAAAAAGCCAGGTTCAAACCAACTTTTGGCCCTTGAGTGATATGAGTCAAAAGCATTGCAAACACAACCATCTTGGCCCAAACGTGCATAACCCTCCAAAAGTTACTTATTTTAGATCCAATGGCCCTTCCAAACACACACTACAAATGTAACATCACATTACTTGCCGTTAAAAAAAATTTCAATGTATCACATTACTTGTCCTTTCTAAACTCATAACACACACACACACATATATATAAACTGCTTTTCTTTAAAAAAAAAAAAAACAGACTTTGCGTGCGTTAATGAAAAATCCACATCAATTATGGAATATTTTAATAAAGGCAAAAGCAAGCAAGCTCGTGCCTGCCACGCGAAAGTTGACGGTAGGCTTTTAATTTGGTGGATATTATGTAATGTACTTTATAAATTCATTTTATATATAATTTCGCGATCAGATATTATTATTATTATTTTCTGGCTTTTCATAAGAAAAGACATGTCAGATGATAATGGCAACATGTTGGCAAACAAAACAAAACAAAACAATGGTAACGGCAATTTGAAGTACAGTTGAACGCGTCTCCTCTTCTTTTTATATAATCAAAGAAACATCTTCGATTCTGCTTCTTCCACTCCTATCTTTTTTTCGTGTGTAAATTTTATTTTTCGTTTGATTTAATATTTTGTTTTTATAAATTAATTTGTAATGATCAATTATATATATATCTGGATCAAATAATTTTATCAAAAGCACACTAATGATTGTGAGGAGTGTTAATGGTTCGACAAATAGGTAGTCTCTTGTTTATAAACTAATAATAATATTAATGATATGTGCTGATATGTACAAAATGAAGCTAATCTTTTTCCAAGAATAATCAACCATATCCTCAAGATATATTATCTATTTTTATTTTTTATTATATGTTATATCCTCTCCTTAACATAAGAATTAAATAACTAATTTACAAATATTAAATAAATTAGTTAAGCTAATTATTTATAATAAATGTGTTATTTTTTCTAAAAATATCTTTGTTAATAATGTGCGTTACTTCTTTTATCTCTTATTCTAAGAAACAACTATAAAAAAAAAATCACACAGTTGAAAATGTTAATTAAATTTAGTTGAAAATGATAGATGTATAAGATATATATATATATATATATATACATATTTTTCTAATTATACCCCGTTTGTAAAGAGAGCATATGAGAAATAATAAATGAAAATTTATTGTAGAGAGAATAGGGGGCATATATTTAATGGAGGTAAAAGTGAAACATTAATTTAAAATTTCATACAAAGAGAATTTGTTTCTTATATATTAGAGACATCACTATGAATGAAATTGTTTCTTACAAAAACAGACTGAAGGAGTAAAATAAAAACTATTTAACATATATAATCATCATATGACTATTTTGGCAAAAAATGAAAGAAAAAGAAATGAATTGATGTTTTATATTTATAATTAAATTAAATCTCTAACTAATTTTTCTATTTAGGATGGGAGGTGGTGCGTGAATGTATGCGCACGCTTTGAATAGTGATTCAGCATTTGGGTTAATTAATTTATAATATATTGATCTCCGGTCACCCCTATGGCAATAATCAAGCCGGGACATAATTTTAAAAAAAAACGTATAAAAATGTTATTATTTATTATGGAGAGAGATCAGAAGAAAAGAGGGAACAAGCCAATACATAGGATAGCTAAAGCAATGAATTTAACCAATAATATTTAAATACTTATAAAGTACTATAACTTATAAAAATGACCGTGTTAATAATTGTAACATATATATAGAAATATTAATGAACACGTAGGTTTTTGCAAGACACAAATATTGACGTCGACGTGGAATTGTTAGATAGATATTAAACGAGTGGCAAATATAGATATAGATATATATATATATATATATATATATATATATATAGCTAAAGAAGTGAGCTTACACGTTGAAACCACAAAAATTAGGTCAGATTGCACCACAAGAAAGTTTCATTATAATATCATCATGGATGATCTTTTGAAATGAACTTTACGTAAATCAAACAAAGAGAAAGACACATAATTTAAAAAGAAATGAGATTTACTTTTATTGTGTGGATCTCATAATATATACATATATACTTTTTCTTCCCCCTCTTTAATTTCTTTCCATTACTTATTCACCTCAAATAACTTGAGGCAAGAATACTCCTAACTATGCGACGTGGGGCCTTCTAGATATATATAATGGAATTCTTACGTAGTCCACAACACCACAACTTTTGAACTCGCCAAGAAAAGCTATTATAACAGTAGAACTATATATATAAATATATATAAATATATTATAATTCATGTATGTTTACAGCTAGTTAGCTGGCTTATCACTACTCTTTGGTGGTGGACATATGAATCTTTAGAGAAAGTAGTTTTCACTAAATGACAACCTCTAAAAGAGAGAAAAAGCTTTAGATGAATGCCATTTATTGAAGTTTTACATAAACCAGCAAAGATATATAAGAGAATAACTACATGTTTTTTGTATCTATAATACATATAGTATATATATTTATTGATTAATTTAATTACTTGTCCTGTCCGCCATCTTCATTTTCTTTGCAATTATATACTCCCCCCCCCCCCTCTCTCTCTGTGAACGCAGGAAGAGAGAAGGGGGAGTTGGGTCAGGGGGCAAAAGTAGAAGATTGAAGGATTATTTCTATGGTTGTGAGTGAGTTTGTGCATAGAGGAATTGTGAGTGTGTGTGTCTGTTGAAGGAACTGAGGAAGAGGGTTCAAGTTCTTCGGACCCTGATGAGATCTCTATCATACTGTGGAAACCAGGTACGCAACCTAATTTCCATATGTGTGCGTGATGGCCAGACCCAGATTAGCTTTGATTAATTATTCTTATTTATCAGCTGTCTAATTTAATTTATGTTCTTAATTTCATTGTGAGATTTTCATTCAATAAATATAGCTTCTTCCACGACTTATAGCTATTTCTTTTTTGCTGCTAGTACATAAAATGTGTGACCAAATTGTGCTCATCTTTTTAACGTCTAAATTTTATAGAAATATTGGAGAATTTTCAATAAAAAATTTAATTTAATCAAAACAAAGTGATACACATTAAAACTCAACGATGTATATGAAAAATTACCGAAAGAATATAAAAATTGACATGAAATTAAAAAAATTATATTGTTCATAACTTGTCAACAGTTCAACTGCCAATATATTTTAGTGATATTAAATATTTTTCTTAGTTTTTTTCACTCAGTAGTTTAATATAAAATTTATAATCAAGTTAATCACCATGCTTAATGTGAAATGACATTAAGCTAATAATAGCAATTGATATTATAACAGGAATGGTGTTATTGTAGTCTTATTATTTGGAAAAACCATTTTGCAAGTACGTATAGTTTCTTTAATTTTTTAATTTGGTACCTCTACATTTTTTCTTGTTAATTAAAACACTCTAATTTTACTCTGTTAATACCGTTATTGGTAACTTTGCTCTATTAGTATTGTTAGCCTATGTTCAAAAGCTAATTATACTAAAAGAGCAAAATTATAGTGTTTATTTAGGAGAGAAAAATACACAAGTACCAAATTAAAAATTAAGAAAAACTATAAATACCTGCAAAATGTTTTTCCTTTTTATTTTATACCTCATCCAGTTCTTATTAGAAGTTTTAAATAACTAATTCACGAATAATGAATAATTAATTAAAAACAATTAATAAGTTAGAAATATATTTTTATTTTAAAATGCCTTATAATAAATAAAAAAAAGAATGAAAGAGATATGTGAAAAAATGTGATAAGAGAGATTATGACAAAGAGACAGAATAAATAATTAAGAGCAAAGTTGAAAAAAAATACATTAAATGTTTAGATAAACCTAAATTAGAACTTATAAAATGAATCAAACTCCTTCATAAATTTAAAGTTTATAAATAAGACGTGAGAGAGTATTAAATATTGTTATTAATATATGCGTCCAAAAAAACCAAAACAATAATTGATATTGATGATTGTAGCTTGTGATCTGGGCAACACTGGCAATATTATGGTACTAGAAGAGATTCCAAATGAATTGTTTCTTCCTACTTTCTTGTTTTCCACCTTCAACTAATTAATGATCATATGAATTTTAATAATAACTCAATAATTAGTGAAGCGTAATCATATCCTTTATATATTATTTTTGTGTCGTTAATCAATATAATTATTAAAATAATATATCTAATAAAAAGTAACTTTCGAGGTCACCATTAAAAGTTTTAGCACCAAGTATTGTTTTAGTTTATCAACAAGCAAGGGAAGAAGTTTAAAATTCTCGTAGCAATCCCAAGATATTTGTCACTAATGATCACTTTTTGTTTGATCTAATTAAACTATTTCCATGTAGAACAATTACATTTATATATAATCACAACTTTTTGTGGTGAGTGGTGACTCATATAATAAATAAAATTATATTTTTCACCATGATTTTCACAGTTTCTATGTAAGTAATGCAACTCATCTTCACATTGTCCATTATAATTTAAATTTTATGTAAAATAGTCAAATTATTTATAATACATGTTTTATTTGAGAAAATGAAGTGGAAGAAATTTTTTACTTTTGTAAAGAAACCAAATTCTGTTTGATATCTTAAAAAATTTTAATTTAAATATAGGTATAATACTAATATAAATTTGAAAATTATTGAAACATTTATAGAAAAATTTAAATCTAACAAGATATAATTTTGAATCGTAATTTTTAAATAATAAATTAAATAAATCAATTAAAATAGTAAAGAAGGGATGATTTAATTTTCTTTTCGCGCTGAAATATATGAGGGGAATGCGTTTTTAGTTAACTTTTTCCCTATACATGAAGGGGGGATTAAATAATCCTTGACCTCTATTCTAATCTCACCTCTCTCTTTTTTTTGGGGGGGGGGGGTTTGGGGGGCCACGTAATCTTTTATCACTTGAGTGAGACCCATACAATCGTTTTTAAAAAAAAAAAAAGCCACAAAAGAAAAGAAAAGGCATAATTATTGTTTATAGTTCCAATCTTCTTGATATAGAGTTTTGAAATTAATGACATTGACTATACATCTGCTCCTTCCTGATATAAGTCACTTTTAGAAAAATAACTTGATACAAAAATATAAATTATTTGGAGAGTAATTAATCCTTATTTTTGTTTCCATAATTAATATTTAAATGTACCGATTATATTTTTATTTTTATTTTCTACAACCTCACTTATTATAGACAAAGTTGGAAAACATTTCAATTTAGGACATACTTAATCAGTTAAATTTACCCATTATATTTTTCTCTGTTTTTAACAACCTCATTCATTATGGATAAAGTTGGAAAACATTTCAATTTAGGACATACTTAATGAGTTAACTACGGTTTTTTCATATTGATAAATTAATTAAAGTGATTTATGCTGTGAATTAGATGGAGTACATATATTTCTGTTAAATTAAACTGTGGTTAAAGCTGTTCCCCCACGGTTGGGCCCGACCCTCACAGTAGGTGGAGTTTAATCGCACATCATAGAGAAGTGTGTATGTGGAGATGATGATGATGATGATATGTAGAAATTATTTGCATAATTTTAGTTTAATTTATATGTATAAATATTATGTACAATTGAATCCAGATTCGTTGATGCTTAAATCTTCCGTTCTACACTCGACCCTCATTACAACAAAGTTCGGTAATAACCACAGCAAATTTAAACTTTACCCTAAGAACATTATTATACTAAAACACACATGGCTATATTACATAACTATATTTTCTAATTAAGAAAATAAAAGATGAAGATGGACATGTGTTTTTCAAGAACAAACCTTAGGCGAGGAAATTAAAGAATATCCCAATGTATGTGATATATATATATATATATATATATATATATTAGCTCAATGATGACAATAACGTTGTAGACCCGGTAGTTACATGTTTCCATGTGAAGCATAAAAATATTCAAATCTGTATAATTATTTGGTAGTATTATTGCAACAGATGGTTGATTGGTTGTCACCAACCAAAAATATTATTTATATGTATTTATATATTCATTCACTTTCTGTTCATTTTGCCCTTTGAGATCTCTCTCACGCAACATAACCTTTTAGGAATTAGGGAGCCAAAATAGAAATAAATAAAAGCATTTCAACAATAACCCTAATTCATTAGATAGCCAAAATAAAATAAAACAAATAAATTTGAAAAATCCAGTGACATAGTTGAGTTATTTAAATAAAAAATTTTAAAAAAATTAACCACTTAGTTAGAACTCTGATAGCCCAAATAGGAAGAAAACAAATGCAGAATCATATTATTGGTCCAATATTGCTTTCTGTTATTATAATGTTACATTACACTGCTCAAACCGTTGTTTCATGAAGACAAAAATTGAATCTTTCAGGAGAAGTTCTAAAATTGGAAGATTTCTTCCTTTTTATTTTGGTAAGCCTCTAATTATTTGTTTGCTCTCAATTTTGTTACTTCTTTATTGTTGTTGTTGTCATTATTATTATTAAGTCCTTCCTTCATATCTATACATTAGACTGTGATTGGGATTCAGACCTTTCTCTTGCTCTTGTAAAACCACTGTTGGTTCAAAGATTATTAGGAAAAAAAGTATTCATAAAAATTAAAGAACCAAAATAAAATTGTGTAAAATTAAAAGACCAAAGACAACTTTTATCAATTTTTTAATTTATTTGGCTATACTCCTTCGGTTCTTAATGTAGGACCTAATTATTGAGTTAATCTTAGTCATAAATATAAGATATATTTTTCATATTTATTAATTTTTAATAAATTATCCTTATTAATATTTCCTCGACCATAATCACGTAAAAATGAAAAAGAGAATATTAAGAAAGATAATTATGATGTTTTAAAAAAAACATATTATATTTCTTATAATAAACTAATTACCTAATTTTATTAATCTAATCAAATTAGTTAAATAGGTCTGATATTAAAGATTGAAGGAGTATTATTTTTGCTCTCTACATTGACACAGAGGTTTTGGATGAAGTCGTGCTATAACTTTCCTGATTTAGATGGATTGCCCAAAATGACTAGCCTTTTAGAACTTCGATAGCCAAAATAGAAAGCAATAAATCCGTAGAATCTTGATGGGTCTAATTGCTTCTGCTATAATGTAACACTGCATAGAAGCCGTCTCCCATAAAGACAAATTCGAATCTTTCAGGAGATCGATGAAGCTGCAAATCTGAGAATAATATTATCGGTTTTCTATTTCCTCTTTTCCTTAGCCTTTCATTAATTATATGCTTGCTCTCAGTACGTTTTTATATTGGATTCAAATCACTATATATATATATATATGCATGTGGAGATCAAATTAGGTAAATTATATATTACTACATAATTATGTATGTGCTTATGTCTCTGCCTTATTGTGTGTGTGTAGATATACATACATATATATATATTGGAAGTTATAATCAAGACCTGCACCAGTTAAAACTCCTAGCCGTGAAATTCAAATCAGGGGTTCATATCGATTTTAACGTTTTGTGTGGCCAAACATATTCAAATAATATAAATAAATTATGGAGTTGTGCATCGAACACCATTAATATAGGTTTATCTCTGCGTGGCTCCATATGTAGTTGTTGGACATCACAGTTCATCAATCGAACCCTTCCAATATTTCAGTATCAGGATGCAACTGGGGAAAATTTATTTGTGTGTGTCACAGACACACACACACACACAGACGCATGCATTATTTAAAAAAAGTATTTTTGGGTTTTTTTGCACTCTTTTGGATTTCCTTTAAAAGACAACATGTGTGTGTGTTTGGTTTGTTTTGGGGACATGATCATTATATTTAAAAAATATTTTTAATTTTTCTTATGTTTTGAGCATCCCCATGTCCCGTTGGGTAATCTTCTGTTCATGCATGGATCCTTTGATTCTTTAATTTATGTCTCCGTCAAAGCAAGTATATATAGGGTATGTTTGGAATAGTTTGTAAGTAGTTTTTCAATCATGATTTATGAAATACGAGGTAAATATATAAAAAGCGTTTTGTTTCGATTTACGTAAAACGTGTTTATAAGTAATTTTAATAGTAATGACAAACAGGGCAATGGTTGATACCAATTCGACAAGTGTAATGTTTAAATCCTTTTTTATTAGATGATAATTTTATCAAAACTTGAGTTTGCATTGGATACATCAATATTTCAAGTCGAGATTCAACTTAGGAAAACACCAAACATAAAGTTTTGTCTCCTAGCTTCATAAAACGAGCCGGATTTTCCTGATATAATTAGTAGATAGCTAGTAAATTAGGAACTTATGAAAAATATACCCTAAATTGTCCTGTTCTTTATTAAGTCCCCAAATTGTTCCCGCACTGAAAGAATTTGATATTGGCTTTCTTATGAACTCCTTAGTTGCCATTTCTATCTTTACTATATTTTTCTAACGTTACTCCTATTAAAAATATGTGAGAGATTGTTAGAAAGCGTAATAAATTTCATTATTTTTTCTAACACAGATTTGAATATGGGCAAAGTCGAAAATCCCTTTTTATTTTCATATAGAGTTAATAGTTTAACAATCTCTCATTAGTTAAGGCCAAAAATATAATCTCTCATTAGTTATAGCGAGATGCTTAGAGCCCCCAAAAAGGCATTGCATGCTTGGGGAGATCCTCATAGACCTTCTACTTCTCTGGTTTCATATGTACATGGCTCTTTTTTAAAACCAACTAATTTTTCATACTAATATATGTTTTCCTCCGAATTAAAATAAAATCTAAATCTAAAGTATATGCATATAATAATACCTTTAATTTTTAATTTTTACTTCACTATGAAGCAACTTATTATTCTGTACGTGCTGCCATCAGGGCTTCTCAGAGCTGAGGAAGGTTTTAACTAGCTAGTTAATTAATTAAAAGCATGACATGGACAATATCTTTTGTTATTATTCCCTGTCTCTAGCTCGTGATAATAATCAACTAATATTTAGCTCTTCAATATCTGCAATAAATTTATTATATTATGTGTTCCATCAAATGCATTCATCTTTCAATATTTATTTTGCAGCTGCATGATGATGCGTGAACCTCCATTTCTAACCCTTATAAAAGCTCGGAACTCTCTGCAGATCGCTTAGCTTTGTCTCTTGTCTCCTTTACCTGAGAGATCTGAAACAAGTTTCCACTTGGATTTGATTCTGGAGGTTCTCTGCGATTTAGCTGTTCTCGATGAATCTTATGGCAGACAATCATGGAAGTTTTGTGCATGAACCAGCAGATAATAATAAGAACAAATGGAAGATTCCTCTCCTTGTTTTCTTCAACGATGCAAGGTACATAATAGTTACACCTTCCTACTATATATATAGAGATTGTATCATCCTCATTCCACTGTTTGGTCAAGAACTGTTCTTGTACAAACAACTTATCGCCATGTCCACATCTGTCTGCCTTTAGATTGATTGATAGATTCATCTTTTTCGTCACCTACGTTACATTGTGTCTCTGTGTGTGTGTGTGTGTAACAGAAGTAGCAGTAACCAATTATTTATGTTGGTGGGGGCTTGTTTTGATGTGTTTGAGGATAATGGATTAACGTTGTGGGTGCAGAAAAGTGTTCAAGATGGATTCAATTGGTCGGGAGTTACTGGGAATTGCATTTCCAGCTGCTTTGGCCGTGGCTGCCGACCCCATTGCTTCTCTTATCGACACTGCTTTCATAGGTCACTTAGGTACGTGCCTAAGCTTCATCAAAATCAAATACAATTTCTTAATTATATCCTTTAGTCTAATAAATTTCTAAACATCGATCTGGCTCCTTAAACATAATTTCCCCTACGAATCGTCTAACTTGATATTTCTTGGTGATTGATGGTTAATATTATTAAATAGGACCTGTGGAACTTGCCGCTGCTGGAGTGTCCATAACACTGTTCAACCAAGCTTCAAGGATCACCATCTTCCCCCTGGTCAGTATCACTACTTCGTTTGTAGCAGAGGAAGATACTCTCAAGAAAATCAGTGGAACTAAAATAGCACAAGACCAATCCAACGACAGTCGTTTTAAGAAGCCAACAAAAGAAAGTGTCGTAGATGATGAGGCCAACAACATTATGCTTCCCGACATTGAAAATGTTGAAGCCAGAGATTCTTCGACCAAACCCTCTGATGTGTGTGACCATGCTGATACACATGGTACGTACTTTCCTTTGTCTTTCTTTGTGTACGTGTGTGGTCTGAGATAGATCAATTCAGTTTGATTTATCTATCTTTCATAAATATATGAATGAAGAACCAATCTAAGAACTCTTTTAGTTTATTACACACCCAAGAAAAAGTCAATGAAAGAGTTTTAAAGTTTCAGTCAAAGCTTGGCGATCGTTTTCTAGCTGAATTCATCTTTCTGTGTACATTCATTAGTTTATGCATGCATATGAATGTCCGCAGTGAGAGTTTGTACCTTGATCCGTTGCTGATACTGAATACCAAATACTTCTCTGATGATTAAATTTATAAGTTTTTTTCACAACATGTTTCACCTAGATAAAAAAAAAAAAAACTTTAAACTTTATTTACTCTACTTTAAAATCTAAAAATTTCCAATTTTACTCTTATTATAAATAGAACCGAAAAATCGCCTCTCTCTCTCTCTCATAAATAGGATTAGTGGAATAATCGTTATACATGAAAAAAAAAAAAAGGAACAATGCTCATATCCACGTATGGATAGCTAATAAATATGTCAAAATACTCAATTATCGAGTGAAATCTTATGAATAATTTTATTTAGTCTCTTTAATAAGTTTATATTTCATTCTCAGATACCAAGACAAACGCAACCAAGAATATCAGTATGAGGAAGAGTCTATTTAGTGGTTGTAAGAATGAGAGCAAGAAGAGGAAACAGATAGCTTCAGCATCAACAGCATTAATATTTGGGACAATTCTAGGCCTCATCCAAGCATCACTCCTTATATTTGCTGCAAAACCTCTTTTACGTCTTATGGGTGCCAAACCAGTAAGTGTCTTGTTTTTTATATTTTCATCGTTAGCTACATATATAAATGATATATTGATTTTAGTGAGATAAAAAAAAAAGATTGGGAGAATGACAAAAAAAGAAGCTGAAAATTTGTAAATACCTAATAAGGAATGTCAACAAAAATTTATTGTCATTTGTAAATTTAGTATTGTCAACACTAAGTAAAGTCTTGTCACTAAACCTGATTTGGGATTTGGTAATTTCATTTTTTTTTTTGTCATTCTCCCAAAAAGATTTGTGTAAGCTAATTTTTCAATATATATATGTGTGTGATAAGGTAATATAATGATTTGTACTTTTTAGGGTTCTCCTATGTTGATTCTTGCGCAAAAGTATTTGAAACTGAGAGCACTGGGTTCTCCTGCTGTCCTTTTAGCTTTGTCCATGCAAGGGATCTTCCGAGGCTTCAAGGACACCACAACTCCCTTATATGTTATTGGTAGGTACCATTTTTTTTTTTTTGAAAACCAATTATCTTGTTTGTTTTAGTTAAGGGAGTTTGTTTTAGTCTTAAATGTAATACATCAATATATTTTGCCTCTAATATTTATTAACCCCTCCTTATGTACATATTTCATAATTAATTTAACATGTTTTGTTTAAAGTATTTATTTTTTTCACTTGGAATAACTAATTAACAATGAAAATTTATGATAAATTAAACAAACACCTCAAACTGATCATAATTTTTAAAAAGAAGGATTTGAGTCATGTAAATTAAATGTGAACAAGGGGGGCAAATCCGTATGGTAATTTTAATCAAAAGCTTAAATATGAATTAGAAAACGTTCAACTTTTTGCCTCTAACTAATTTGATTCATTTGTACGTTTTGATTTTTATTTAGTGTCCGGGTATGCCGTAAATGTGGCATTGGATCCACTCCTCATATTTTACTGCAAGTTAGGCCTCAAAGGAGCAGCCATTGCACATGTCATCTCACAGTAAGCCTCACTTAGTCCTCTCTCCCCCTCTCCCGCTCTCTCCCCTAATAATATATTACTCCTCCAATCCTAAATATAAAGCCCCTTTTGTAGTTTAATTTACACTATAAAATGGATTTTATATTTAGAACTGGAGGAATATTGTCTTACTCCAACAAAGAAATTATTTTTCATATGTTTATTACAAATCGGTGATCCTTAATTAATTCCTTCCTTCAGGTACTTGATGGCACTGGCTCTGTTGTTGATATTACTGAGAAGAGTAGAGCTCTTGCCTCCAAGTATTAAGGATTTGCAGATTTTCCGCTTTCTTAAAAATGGTAAGAATGTTACATCAATTAAATAATATTATTGTTTTTCATATTTGAGACATAAAAAAATGAATTGAAATATGTGTGGATGATCATCATCAGGAGGGTTGTTGATGTTAAAAGTAATAGCAGTAACATTCTGTGTGACGTTTGCGGCATCACTAGCAACAAGGTTGGGTACAATTCCCATGGCTGCTTTCCAAACATGCCAACAAGTTTGGATCACCACTTCCCTTCTTGCTGATGGCTTGGCCGTTGCTATTCAGGTAACCAAACAAGCCTTTCACTTCCTTTGACATAGTCCTTAGTTATTGTAAAATTTAAGATTTTTCTTGATTTCGATAAAACATGTTGGTAACGTCTTATGAATATCTACTTATGGGTGAGTGATGACAGGCAGTTCTAGCATGTTCGTTTGCTGAGAAAGACTATGTGAAGACCAAAGCAGCAGCCACAAGAGTACTTCAAGTAAGTATAGTAATAATGCTTTTTGAAGAGTTGTATAATTAAGAGTTAATAATTGATTAATTGATTAAATATAGTGGGATTAATATATAATTATGCAGATGACTTTTGTAATGGGAGTAGGGCTGTCTCTCGTAGTAGGCATTGGTTTGTACTTTGGAGCTGTCGTCTTCTCCAAAACCCCTTCGGTTCTCCAACTCATCAGATTAGGCCTCCCTGTATGTTTCTTATATCACACACACACACACACACACACACACACACACACACACACACACACACACACACACACACCATCTCAACTTTATTTAACGTTATTAAACTTTGTGTCTCTGTGTGTGTGGAGAATAAATGTTGTGCTGAACTGAATGGAACAGTTTGTGGCAGCAACACAACCTATCAATGCATTGGCGTTTGTGTTTGATGGAGTCAACTATGGAGCATCGGATTTTACATATGCAGCGACTTCTTTGGCAAGTTCCACGTACCCTTATTTAATTATTTACTATCTTAATCATACCAAAATAATCAAAGTTATAAGCAAAATATGTATATTATAATATTAATGAAAGTACGATGATGTTGTTTAATTGTTGGATGAACAGGTGTTGGTTTCAATTGTGAGCGTGGGAATAGAATACGCGATGTATAAGATGAAAGGGTTCGTTGGGATATGGATTGCTTTGAGCATATATATGGCTCTTCGCATGCTGGCTGGTGTTTGGAGGTTTGTATTATTGTTTTCCCCTCCCCAATACTTGCACATCAATTACTTACTACCCATCTCAGTATGCTAAACATAGGAGTTTATAACTAATTTATAAACATTAAAAAATTAATTAAAAAAAGAGTATGTTGATTTTTTAAGATACCCTTCTTTAATTATTCAAATTGGAAGCTGACCCTGCTAACAGGGGCCCCCCATAATTAATGGTAATATTTTAGAAAGGTTATACTCAATTAATAAATGTGGGATCAAATCAAGCCCCTCAACTGGCTTGCACTTATAAAAGTGTAGAGGTGTGCAAAAACCTAGTGGTCCAACCCAATACAGGATGTTCCGGTCTGATTCAGTATAGTTCAAATAAGCTATATAATGAAATTGGACCAAACCAAATCAAATCGGTTGGTCAAGCCAGACTGGGTTCTAGACCAAGTGATCAAACCATCCAGCTATAATGGTCTAGTCCAGCTGGGTGATTTTTTTATTTGTCAATAATTTATAACTTAGATGTTATCCATAATTGTTTTAAATGTGGTTAGAGATTTATATATATATATATATATATTTATGATTAAGTTTTAATATTTTAGGATAAGTTTTACATGATTATATGCATGTTTTATAAATTGTCCTAATTGTATTTGTTATGTTAAAATCTTACCTCCCATAAAAGGAAAAAAAGACAAAAGAAAAATTAGGGTTTTAGACTACATAGACTAGTTCATCAATCTGGCGGATCAAGTTTAGTCCAACCCAATCTCGAGTTGCTATTAAATTGGACCAAACCGCAAAATGTCAAATCTAGTCTGGCCAAAAATCAAACCAAAATTTGAGTTAGGCTTTGGCCTGATTTGGTTTATCTATTATGCAACCCTACTTATTTGCTTGGCCTTTGTAAATGTACTAATTAAATTAAGATATTTGTGATGTTTAATTAAAGTACTTTTAACTTGAACTTGCAGGATGGGAACGGGAACAGGACCTTGGCGTTTCCTTAAACAATGATGATTGTCTAGATTAATAATGTAGGCCGTATCATGGATACAAAAACTGTGACGCAAGTTGATTACATGCCATGCACCACACACATAATATCTTGCCCTCTTCCCCGGTTTAACAAGATGATGATGATGAAAACCGGTAATTAAATTGGTCGAGACTCGGGATAGTAGTTTTCAAAATTATTGATCTTATCGTGATCAAATAGATTATGTGTTTCTTTTCAGATAAAACACTTGGCAAATCTCTTAATTAACTTGAATGTTGTATAAATATCACTGACCAAAACAAATAGATTCAGGACACCAAAATTGAAGCCCTAGTATTTAGGAGATTCTTGGAAAAATAAGGGTTATGGATTTCATCATTTTTAATTTGAATTCTTTCTCAAATTTATATACAACTTATATTCACAAACGTATATTACGGATAAATTAAAGTAATAAAAAAATAATGTAAAATTTATTGACTGATCCATCCCAAAAAACAAAGAAGCTCGTTGAAAAATTTATTTCATTACACTTTTTTTTAACCACACTTTCATCAATCAATAATTATAATTAAAAAAGCTAAAAAAAAATAGTTTGAGTACATTCCAAAATAACAAGTATTTTGAAATTTGAACTAGATAGAGTTTCACTATTTCAAAATCCAAAGGAAGATCTAAACAAGCATATGAACAAATTAAAGAAGTTATTTTACAATTTGAATAAGAGTAGTGTTATAGCTATACAATGAGCATAAAACCACAAAAACGTAGCAAAAATAAAATAACAAATTACTACTGAAAAAGAGTCTTTTAATAATTAATGATGGTTACAGCCGACCTTTTGATTTAATTTAGTCAAAAGGAGCATATGCCCTACATTTGGCCTTCAAATTCAAACACTAGCTGGCGGAAGCTAATAAGGCTACTATTTCTGATCACCTTATCCCCAATAAATTAAAAGCTCAACTATCCCAATTTCTTCAAATTATTATAATTTACGCAGTAGAATTCCAAATTATTAACCCTATTAGAAAATTGGAATAGTTGAGCTTTTAATTTAGCGAACAGATTGTCACACCACACACGAAGCAAATAGTTCCTCTGATCCGATTCTTTATGTCAGATAATATAATATAAATAACCCCATTGTATAAATAGAAATGAAAAAATATTGGTTAAAATTTCAAACATCTTTTAAGTGTATCTTATAGATAGAATCATGCCTATCACAAAAACTGTATGCAACACCTAACTTTTATTTATTAATAGGGTGAATATCATGTCCGTGGATCACTAAATGCCAGGTTTCTATTTTGGAAAAAATTAGGAAATTTTTTTAAAACATAACATAAATCACTTGATAGCAGAATTCCAATGCAAGATGGAGCCTGTGATTAACGTTTGAATTTGCTGTTTGAGATTATAAAAACTTTTTTAGAAAATTCTGACAAATGATCCACCAAACCCTAACTTTAAACATGCTTACTCTCATCTAAATTGATTTCATGCGTAGAAATCCTATAATATAATACTAAAATATCACAGTAAGCTAGATCGATAGCACTTATCTGCACCAGGCAAGACTTTACCTCCTTATGGAGGATACAAAATAGTATTTACAACAGACAAGTAATTATAACTTGCCCTATAGCATAGGCATAGATATAAACAGAAGTATTATAAGTATACACTATTAATCATATACAAAATACAGTAGGCATTCCTGCTCTTCAACTAGCCCACCTGATTATAACTCCACTTCTTTTTCCTTGGAATTGCTTGCCCTGGCTATATATTATAGGAAGGGAGGGTGAGATTCAAATGAATTCCCATAGTAGTAATTTCCAACAAATAAAGCATGCAAAACAAACCAAAGTGGAATATAACCTTGCAACTAATGCAATTAAGCATTTATGCACAAGGATAGATAGGCAAGCTAAATAAATAATAGGCAAATAATTGGCAGATACTGACCCATATCTATCAACTACACATGATCACGGCTAAATAATCCATGAAAGAAATAAAGGATTATATGTTCTCATACTTTAAAATAGCAATATAGTATAAACAGACATGTAGCAATCATACATAAGTATAAGGTAGGAAAGAACTACTACCTAAGCCTTCTACTTCAAAATTAAACCCTACTTTCTTCCTTTCTTTTAGCTTCCTCAGTGGGCTTTTGTAGATATCAAAACCTATTATGTTAGTAAGGGTAGATTAATGCTTCATCCAATATAATTTATAAATTAACTAACCTTCTTTATATTCCAAATTTCTTTAAATTCTACCATTACATAATAGTTGGTCATCTGGACAATTTTTTTATTCAATATATTCACTGTGGAGGGTTTCTCTCTTTATATCAACCCATACAGTTACCTAGCAACTGGTGATCTTGGTCAAATATATTATCTTTAATTATTGCATTTAAGGGTAACATCGTGACCCTTATTCCATTTCCGGCTCCACTTTTATTAAGTGGTTGGTCGTCATGGAATAAAAATAATATATATACATACACACACACACATGTATATTCCTAACTAATATTTTAAAACTCCATACTTGAATTTCAATTAATCTCAAACATTCTCCCTTTATAATTTTTTTTTCTTTAACTCCTAGTAGCTCTTACAAGGAACTATTTAATTCTATAATTCTGCCGGCTGATAATCACATATTATTCTAACATATCCTACCTCACTTTTGGTTTTCACCATTCTCTCACATCCTTTAAGTTAAATCTAAAAATTTTCCAAATCCGACTTAAACAATTCACTTTTATTTTCCTCAAACAGTTCCGCAACACCTATTCCATTTGTTTCCATTTCAAGTATTTTAATCAATAAGCTGCCTATATCATTAAATGACTTAATCTTTCCTCCAAAATAATTCCTCAAACAACCTTTCTAAATAAATTCTACAACTCAATCAATCTTACCCTTAATGCTCAAACCTTCTCCTCTAGTTCCCAACAACTGAAAACATTAATCAATAATTTTCTAACTAACTGTATATATACAAGTTCAGCACTCAAAATCCAGCAAGACCCAAAGTATATTTAAATCCAAGTTCATCTTTTTCCAGCTCCATCACTATTAATCTATCTATCATCTTCGAATCCTCAAACATACTTTTAATCCTCCACATCAATTCAAACTATCCTTCTTTTAGGCTCTAAAATAGCTTTCAGATTTACTTCCATATTAAAACTTCCAGACTTTCAATTCCGTTAACACTCAACCTCCTACATATGCATATATTCTCCCATAGCCTCATAATCTCCTTATACAAACTTTAGTCTATGCCAACATATCCTCTAATCATTAAAAATTCCTATCCATTGGTTGGTAACCTCAAGCACATTTCAACAATAAATTTAAATCAACTCCTCTATGTTTCATAATCTGGAAATTATTCCCAACTTTAAAACATCAATATAATATATTAGTTCAATCCTTCCCTCTTATCTCCATGAATTCGAGTCCCATGACCCAAACAAATATGTACATAAATATCTATGCATATATAAAACCCGAACACTCCAAATGCTCATATATGACAAATATGGAAATTTTCTATATTCAAAATACATTTTTAGAACCAGCCTGTCTAATAACAGAAGGCAAAATAAGCACCATTCAAGCTTATATATTTATTTACGTATATCCTGTTTCTAAAACTAACTAACCCAACACCAATGCAACAGAAAGCCAAAATTACAGTTCTCAACTTCAGTTACACTTGGCTAGCATCAGTATACGGCACTAAGAAAAATAAAGAACATGCGATCCAAAAAACTTACTCCCTTAACACAACCCGTCATCATCCTAAAGCAGCGACTTATCCCCTGTTCGGCCAGCAACGAAACAGAGCAAAGAATTTGAAACTCAAACTTCCAGAAATTTCATTCTGTTCGGCCAACCCAAGATAGAGGTATCTAGCATCATGCAAGATACTCTACTACCTGTCATTAGCTCCAAGTCTTGACAGCACAAAGAACCCCTACATCAAACCCAGATTCGGACAGCAACACAGAGACCAAGAAAGGGACATGCAACCTAAAAATCTTACACTATCATCATCAACCAACATCATTCTCTCATCGTCATCAAGTTTCCAGCTTAAATCAGGAGTTTCTCTCACTACCCAACTTTCTTACTCAACCATTGCAGCTAAATCTAAACACAGATCGAAAGAAATAAGTATGGAAGGGTAATTAGGAGGTTTACCCAAGCTCAGAACAGTGATCGCACGTCAGGTTCTTGATCTCCTATGGTCTCTCGCCGGAGACGCACCTCTGGTCCCTCTCACTCGCGCTCTCTCTCTATTCTCTGCGTGAAGCAGAAATGAAATGAGGGAGGTGGGCGTGTAATCTGATGGTTAAAGGCCTAAGCGCGCGTGCGAGCTGTGTGTGAGGAGTGAAAATGACTCCTCATTTCCAATCTCATCCGTCTCCTATTTTTCTGAAGCAATAAATACTTCCACAATTTAATCCATAAAGAGTAATTTGAAATTCCCTTATCCAATAGCTTATTCGACCCTTAAATTAATTCCCATAAAAATCTTTGGATCAAAATCCTATTCTGACTATTTTTCTTCAATTATCCAAGAAAATAGTCATTTATTCCAAAAATTAATCCTCAAATCATTTTAAGGATTTTATGCCTCCATTATCTTTTTTACCAACTCAAATAGTTATCCTAAAATTTTAAGATTAGATAAAAATCTCTAAGTATTTTTTTATAATTTTCTGAGAAAATAAACCATTTTTCTCTTAAAATTATCTATTAAAATTATTTAAGTCATTTTTTGGGAAATAAATTTTCCAGAATATCTCTAAACGCTGAAAATCAATATTCTATAATTTTTCCTAATTTTATTTGGTTATTAAATAATTTTAATAATTTTTTCTATTTATGGTAAGTTATAAAATTCGGGTGTTACTCTGAATCTTATATATATATATATATATATATATATATATATGAGATCGGAGGGAGTTTATATAAAAGAAATAGCATTCAATTTTATAAGCAATATAAATTAAGATGGTGAAAGTGGGGAATTTCGGAAGAAAGATACCAACCTTAAATACACAGGATCGATGTTTTCTTCATCTATTGAAAGAGATGAAGGAATTATTTCACCAGAAATAATAGCTCTTCAAATCAACAGCACCAGTATAGAGAGAGAGAGAGAGAGATGTTTTAGATTGTTTTTGTGTGTGTGTGTATATAGTACCACTCGGGGGACACGTGGAAGATTAATGGCCAAATTGGCTTTAA